TAGCCAGATATTTGAGGAAACTAGAAGAATTCAGGATCCAGTTTAGTTTTCAAGTATATTACAAAACCTCAAAGATAATTAACAGAATTAGAATCTAATATTTACAAAGGTTAAAACATAATTTTTCTCTCTACAATCACTCCATTTCCCCCCAAAGATAACACAACAATTCGTTTGAATTTAACTTGGCCTGATTAGTTACGTAAGTGCAACAAGAGTAGTGATTGACCCTATAAGCTCTTTTTTAAGACTGCTTTACTAGGAGTTTCAGATTGAACTCTTAAAAGCCTCTGAAGCCAGGAAGCCAAGCCAAGGATGGCCATCAGACTTTACCTGAAAAACCTGTAGTTTGGGTGAATTCTCCTCTTCTCAAGGTCCTGAAAATATCCTGGGGTTCCTGGACCTGCCGGGAAATGACCTTCCTTACTTACATGGTAAGGCTGCCAGGAACCCTGTAAGTAGAGTACCAAGCCAATTTTTCCAAGGGGCTTTACTGGCCTTATAAAGTCAACCTTAGTTCCTTAGAGCTACCTAGTCATATCTGAGTCTATGCACATTTCTCTTAACTATGACATTTCAGTCAAAGCCTTGATAATGTAGCCAGCGTTTCCAATTGCATCCTGTTACAAGGAGAGCAGATTTTTATTGGACTTATGCAAATAACTAATCCTATTGCCATGAGAAGAATACTCAAGAGTTTCTGAATTCTGACAGGATCAGGTAGGGAGAAAAAGTACATGTTTCATCTTTGTTTACAAAGGTATATGTTACCAAATTGCTGTAAATCATAGATAGCTTAAGAAAAAAAAGGTTTTCTTAAGTTTAGAAAAACAAAACATTAAGGGACCAGCAATGTTGCAAACAAAAAAGTCGTAAAATTTTTAATTCTTCTCCTCAGTTATTCAGTCCCATGTAAGTAATACTTGTTCTGCTTGAATCCAGTTTTTCCATTAGTTCTGGAAATTCTTACCTTGTTCAGTTATATGCTCTTAAAGTTATCATAAACCTGTACTTACCAAAGTCCTTTCCATGAATCTTCTTGAAAATGACATACTTTTGCAGCTGATGTTGAAGAATCTGCATAAGGCCTTTAAGAACAATCCCTTTTCCAGTGTTTCCATTGATTACAACTGAACATCAATCCCTGGGCAGCATTTTGATGATGGACACCTAGGAGGATGTAATAGGGGAGGCCTAGGTGTTGTTCTAGATACCTTTTGTGTTTTTAGTAAGATTTTGCCATTTTTGTAGATATTTATAGCTTCTGGAACCATCGTTCTTAGACATAAAATAGGCAGGTATGGGCTTCCCTGGTGGCGCAGTGGTTGAGAGTCCGCCTGCCAATGCAGGGGACACGGGTTCGTGTCCCGGTCCAGGAGGATCCCACATGCCGCGGAGCGGCTGGGCCCGTGAGCCATGGCCGCTGAGCCTGCGCGTCCGGAGCCTGTGCTCCGCAGCGGGAGAGGCCACAACAGTGAGAGGCCCACGTACCGCAAAAAAAAAAAAAAAAAAAAATAGGCAGGTATGCCAGAAGGTGGCATGCTTGACTCTTTGGAGCTTAAGGATCCTGTTATATTTTTAGCTAAGATTTTGGGTCTCTGGGAGCCAAACTAATACCTAAGAGGGATGTGCCACTGGGTTGGAGATTGTGTGGTGTTTTACAAGTGTACCTCATTGCATGGAAATTTTATTGAGGTTGGCATCAATCTAACCCATTCTATGACCAAATTATCCTAACATGGGAGTCTTTTGGTTAGGTGAGCACTCTAACAGGTTTTTTTGTTGTTTTATTTTTTTCTAACAGCTTTTAAGTGCTCATCAATTTTTGTAACTTTATGGCTTCCAAGATTCCGATTAACAATAGCCTTTATCTACACTAAGCGAGACAAACAAACATGTGCATCTTAACACACCAGCAGTAACCAAGAGATGTTACTGCAGCTTGGCCAAGGAAAGTCCCTGTGTGCACCACCACCAATTCCCATGGAACTGGGGACTGGAAAAAAGATTGAACCAGCAGACCCCAAACAATGGGGATTGCAGACTGATTCCAAACAAATGAGGAGCTGCAGCTGCCACCAGCAGTTCCCAACATGGAATCTGGGGAAGGATTCCAAACAAATATGAAACTGCAGACCAAACCACCAGCAGTTCCCTGTGTGGAATCTGGGTACAAACCAGCAGCTGGGATTTTCTGCTCAAGTGGGGGAATTGTGGTCTGAACCAAGGGCTAGGGGATTGGGTTCTGGATGGAATCATCTGGTAGCTCAAGCTGACCTGTGCCAGATTGGAAAGTCAATTAGATCAGGAGCTTGACACACAGAGTGGAGCTCAGAGCTGAGAGGAACTTACTCACGGCCCTTGGAAACAATGAGAGAGACACAGAACTCAAAAGAGTTTTCAGGGACCATGCCTACGTTTCCCGTTGAGTTGTTAACAAACCCCCTAAAGGTATAGATTAAAGTTTATACTGTTTATACTTGTGATATTGTGATTTATAATAAAAAAAAATATATATATATATATATGGTCATTACCCCCATTTCTAGCACAGAACTCCTAAAACACTTGGAATTTCCTAAGTGATGAGAGCCATAAAGATATCTTTTGTTATGCTGTCGAGTGACTTCGGGACTGCACCTAAAGATGGGGACTGGTCTCCAGGAGAACCAACTTTATGATTAAAAGGTTGGAACTTTCATTCCTAAGCCCCTGACCTCCAGGGAGGGAAGAGGGCCTGGAGGTTGAATCAATTATCGTTGGTCAATGGTTTAATCAATCATACCTATGTAATAAAGCTTCCATAAAATCCTAAAGGAACTGGGTTTGGAGAGCTTCCAGGTTGGTGAAAATGTAGAGATTCAAGGAGAGGAGGGTGGCATGCTCAGAGAGAGCATGGAAGCTCCACACCCCGTTCCCCATGCCTTGCCTTATGCATCTCTTCCATCTGGTGTTCCTAAGTTATATCCTTTTATAATAAACTGGTGATCTAGTGAGTAAACAGGCTTCCTGAGTTCTGTGAACCACACTAGCAAATTAATGGAACTCAAGGAGAGGGTTGTGGGAACCTCCAACCTGTAGAGAGTTAACAACCTGGGCTTAAGATTGGCATCTGAAGGAGGGGTGGGGGTGGGGGACGTCTTGTAGGACTGAGCCCTCAACCTGTGGAATCTGATACTATCTCCAGGTAGATAATGTTGGAGCACTGCTTGTTGGTGTGGGAAATCTCCCCCTCCACACACTGAATTGGGTCTAGAACCTTTAATACCGAAGTCTTTAAAGTAAATCATCATGTAATAACAATAGCACACATATGCAAAGCTAAATGGAGAAGGGCCAGGAATTCAGCCCAAGGTCTTTTTGACCAGGTCCCCTTAGGCATCAACATCTTTACAACAGGAAGAAGAAGGCCAGGATTCCTTCACACATTCTCCAAGCACAAAAACAGAAATCCAATTTAAAGTTTGTCTTCATTTTGCCTGGAATGCCCAGTACTGCAATTTTCATTAGTCCCACCAGAGAGCAACCTTTCTACACTTATGCTCCTACTTGACAAGAACAGAACCACCTCGTGAAGCTTTCATGACCCAAATAAATTCCCCAGACTCTGCAAAATTACCCCACTTTTAAACCGTCTAGGTAGATCATTTTGAAAAGCCAACAATATAACGCGTTGGAAAACGGCTTGAGGATTTGGGTTGAGGGTATTCTTTGACCTCTAGCAATAAACCTGACACCAGAGATACTGAGGTGAGCGCCCGCACCATAGAGCTGTGGGTCCAAAGTTGCCCCAGTCAGGTTCTGGGAAGAGAGCACTTTCACTGGGGTGAAGGACCTGCAGGAACTGGTCTCTGGCTCCATGGCCCTGACTTTACACAGCCTTGGGAGAACTGAGTGTCGACTTTGTATCAGGGTGGTTCAGGGCCATGGCCAAGTCCCCTACACCGGGCTAAGACAGGGAGCCTGAGGACTTCCCAGGCTGTTCCATTAGGGTACAGAACTCCCCCTGGGATCAGTGGGCTGTGACAGTTAGCACATCAGATTAATAAAAGACACCCACACACACCTCATTTAAGTGCCTTATGTACACTGCAGACTACTAGACCAGCATTACAGGGGCTGGTAAGAGTTGCATCACAGAAGAGTAGGAAATAAATGTTTTCCCTTTATAACTGGCCACTAAGGTGGCCAGTTAACACTAAAAAGATCTGCTCTCCTCTTTCTCAGCCCCTATAGTAACTTCCCTGTCTATGCCCCACCCTAGCAAGATCAAGTGCTGTTTGCTTGTCTAAAGCCCTGCTACAATGTGAACTCTGTTTATGGATCACCATCTTATCCACACGACCTGTTGCAGGATCCAAGTTCAATATTCGGCGACAGAAAAATAGTACAGTGCTGGGATGCACCCTCCTCTGGGCTGGATCTTCGCACAGCCTTGATCCCCACTTCTCTTCTTGGAGTAGGATTCAGGGACTGATGTCTCCCAGGCCCATCCTGGAAATACAGACAAGCCATTCAGAATATCTGTACTTCTTTATCTAAATCTGGTCTGCGAAAGTCTTTGAGTGCTAGAAACCATCTTCCAAATTCATTTCTTCTTTTAATCACTAAATAAATCTTCTGATACTAATTGTATGAAGCAAGGAGTAAGACACTGTTGGGGAAACCAATATGTGTACAAAATAAAGATACTTCCATTTATATATGATATGTGTGTGTGTATCATATATATATATATATATATCTGTGTATGTGTGTGTGATGTAGCTGCAAGAGTCAAGAAAGAGGAAAACCCACCCACCAACCCACCAACCAAATACATCACTCTAGGTCATAATATATAAAAATCCTTTATTGTTGAGGCGTGGAGAGACATCACATTTTTAGGATGCTACAGAAACTCCAGGGCAATCTATAGTCAATGCCTGCAGGGACTGGGGGGGCTCACTAGGCAGTTTCTACAGCGGGTGGGGTAGAGGGTTGGAGAAGGGGTCAAAGCACAGGAGTGTTACAAGGATGTGGGAGAGGAAGGGAAATAGGAGTGCGTGCACCTGGGGATTGGGAGAGGGTGACAGGTGTCTTCACGATGCAGCCCAGGAGTCCAGAAGTGGAGTGCTGAGGACCAAAAAAAGAAGAAATCACATCTCTGTCCTGTAAAACTCCCACCAACCACCCACTGGGGAGGCGGGGGAGAAAGGGAGGGGCATCTGTAAGGGAGAAGTAGAGAGAATGGAAGTCTTAACCCTCAGCTACCCCTGTAGCCTTTGAACTAGAGGACCGAACTCTCCTAGCCACAGGTGCAGGCGTCTTCCCAGCTTCCATGTTTATCACGCTATGGTCTGAGGGGCCCATGCAGAAAGAAGTACTGGCAAAGTTCATAGCATCCTGGCATCCCTATGAGCCAGGCATACACACAGCCCTGTCCAATGCACCCTGGCACTAATGCTCCCCTGGCCTCACTCAGTCCCTCCTCCTCTTTCCAGAAACCTCCCAGAGGAAGGACAGGCCCAGGGATCACTTCCTTTTTCAGCAGTTTCACATGAATGAGATAAGATGGCACAATGATCTGTGTTGATCCATCTCATCTAACCTCCTTTAAATGCCAGCCCCCAGGGACCTAGTGTCTATTCTTCCCAGCACCTAACAGGTTGAGAATGCACCATCAGTGGTGAGGTTATGAGGGCTGCAATTATGGGCCTGGTCCCTCTGAAAGAGCCTACGTTCACCAGAAAGCATTAAAAGTAGATTTCCACGACGCACTTGTTTCTGCCATTTGTATAAAATACTATGGCAAAATTGCACTGTAATTATCTTTATGGTTGATGCATAACGTTGGGGAGTGTATATCATCCAGATATAGCTGCCCGTATAATTATCTGACCGTCAGCAGGACTGAAATAACAATCTAATGAGAGCAAAATGATACAGTAAGTACCATGTAATCAGTGAGTTATGGTTATTACGGCTTTTTGTACCCTCTCACCCAACACTGAATGGGGGGCCAGACCCGGTCTCTGGGCCCGGGGAGTCACACACAGGCAGTTTCATTGAGAGCCTGCTCCTGGTCCTTGGGGCTCCCTTGAGACCAATGAGTGTGGGTAACAGGGCCACAGAGAGAGGGGCAGGAGTCTCTGTGAAGACTGAGCCTTCCTGATCCCTCTCCTTTCCTCCCCTGACACCTTCAGTGGAAGCCAGTGCAAAGAAAGCCATCAGTGAGCTGCTATTGCTGTGTGTGGGAAGATGGTGTCGAGGCAGACGGTTCCGTGTTTTGACAAGACACTTCCCCGGGGGACTCACACTTGCATACCAAGTGGAAGAGCTGTCAGCCCACTCGGGCCCAGGGTCCAGCCCAGACAGCTCCAGGCAGACAGACTGGAGCCCGCCAGGGTCAACACTGGGACCTTCCCCACAGTTCCCAGACTACAATCACAATAAAGCCAACATACAGCACTGTGTGCCAGGCACTGTTCTGAACACTTTACCTAGACTCAAAACCACAGCCCTGCAAGGTAATACTGTGACCCCTGTTGTTCAGATGAGGAAATTGAGGCACAGAAGGGTTTTGTAACCTGGCCAAGGGACACAGCTAGTGAGTGGCAGGATTTGAACTCAGGCCATGCTCATATTCATTACACTGCACAGAGCGATTAAGATATAGTTTCCAGCTACTCCCCATTAGATTTCAGAGTTTGTTGCATTTCTTGCTAAATCACCCTTGCAAATAACTATATAGTGGACCCGGTAACCCGAGATTCTGAATGATCTGAATGGTTTCAGCCTGCCTGGGAAGCAAAATGCTTCACCTGTGAATAGATGTGGTACCTGTAATTATCAGATGATGATCTCTCCACCTTTTGCACAAATTACAAGAATGGAGTCCAAACAAGAGAAGCTGCTCATCAAAGAAACCCCAGGGGAAACCCCTCCCTTGCCATTTCCTACCACTCAGCCATAAGCAGGGGTCCATGAGACTGGAAAGAGATGAGAAACAGGGTGTGTGTGTGTCTGTGTGTGTGTGTCTGTGTGTGTGTGATCACAGGCAAGCACACACTTCTAAATGTCAGGCACTGGTAGTGTATTTAGGCCATTAATTATGAGCATTAATACACACAGCATCAGAGGAAATGCTCCAATGCTCCTCTGGCAACCTACTCCCCCCACATACACACACACAGTCCCCTCTCCTCTCCCTAGGTACTTACTTCATTCCACATTGGAGGGATACTTGAAGGTGCCAAAGCTGGGGACGTTCTCTTGGTTCACATCAATAGGATTGTCTGTGGTGAAATAAACAGTGTAGTTAGGAGGGATTTTTCTGCATATGACCTTCACCCTGACCCAATAGCAAAGGGCTGGCTATGAAGGACAGCTTTGGAAGACAGAGTTGGGAAGTAGATGGATGCTCTGTTTGGGAGATGGGGGCGGGGGGCGGGGGAGAAGCAGAGCTTGCCTGACCCCCTCGCAGCTGCAGCAGAACTATCTTATAAAGGTCTCCGTCCTGTGCTCCCGGGGAGGGCTGGACTGTGGACCCAAGCCGATTGGTTAGAAGGGACAGAGGAACCCTCACTGTAGCTAAGAAAGTCCTGTCTTTCCCTCTGGTGACAAATGTGAAGCAGCTGACTTCTGCTACATCTTTGCCAGCACGCTAGTCCTTCCACCGACCTCCACATCTTCCTACCTGGCTGGATGTTCCTCTTGCCCATGAGACCCACAAAGAAGTCATGCATGTCACCTGCAGAAACAGGGCCAACATTTTCAGCGGTGATAGTGAGGGGCTGATACATTTCCCCAGACATGTGTCAAGACTTCTGAGGTTGGGCTTCTGGTCTCTGTTTCAGTGTCTCACCACAGCTTACTCCCCGCAGTTAGCAGGCTGTCCCCTAGGCCCACCCTCTCTGTCTACCTCTCCCTCCCCCACATTTCGAGAACTCTCTGAAATTCTCCCACCCAACAGGTACCTGGCTTAGAATCTTCACAGCCACCAAGAGATCCTCTTGGTTCCCACTAACCTACCAGCGGAGGGAGACTCCACCGTGCCCCGCACATCTGCTTCCTCCGGCTCTCAGCGGCCTCTTCCATTCAGGAAAGGCTGGCTGAGCAGTTGCAGCTGGCATGCTGTTTGCGCCAGCTGAGCCGGGGCCAGCCGAAATAGTCACTGGGCCCTGTGCCCATGGAGCTCTAGGCAAGTGGTCAGCAGAGATCAGGAGGGAGAAGAGGCTACTCACGTTTCTGGGGAAGTGATGACTCCTTAGGACCTGTGAAGCAAGAACAGGCATGTAACTGGGGAAAGGAATCTGCAAAGTGATGATTAGAGGGGGTTCAGATCACAGCCCTCAATAATTCACTAAGCCATCTCCAGTCTCCTTCCCACACGAAGGGGTCTCCCAGGCCTATTTAATCTTCAGAATCCTGCCCCACATGCCCCTCTGCCCGGGGCTGCTTCCTACCCACGCTAGCCTTGCTCAGCATTTTGAGCAATCCATCTAGGGAGACTGAGCGGCTGTCATAGAGTCTCCGGAGCAACGACGGGGGCAGCTGGTAGAGATTCGAGTCCTTCTGGGGAGAGAAACAAAGAGGGCTGAGGAGGATGCTCACACCCAATCCACTCACTCTTTCCCCACAAGAAATGGCCTCTTCTTGAGCTCATCACAGCTGAACTTAACATCCTATTTCTTTCAGGATTTCCTCTGGTGTACACTAGAAGCGAAGTAGGCTCTCAAAGTGTGGTCCATGGACCAGCAGCATCGCCGCTGGGAGCTTGTTAAAAACACATAATCTTGGTCTACGCCAGACCTACTGAGACAGAATCTGCATCTTAACCAGGCCCCCAGGTGACTCACAGGCACAGCAAGGTTTGGGAAGCACATGTAAAGGGAACACATTGGGCATCCCTGTAGGCCGACCAACTGTCCCGGTTTGCCCAGGTATGTGGGGCTTTCAGTGTTCAAGCTGGGACAGTCCCAGGAAAGCTGGGAGTTGGTCATGCTATATCCCAAGCTCAAAGGGGACTGACCCTTGGGGCCCCCTCCAGCTCCTGCCACCTCTCAGTGAGAAGGGCCATTGGTTCTTTTCTCCCTGGCACACCCGGAACCCGTTTGACCAACGATGTGGTTGCCCCACTAAGTGAATGAACCAGGAATTCCCGCACTCACAAGAAAGGCTCATCAGACAGAGCTAGTGTCCTCTGGTCTGTGCTCCATGATTGAGTCACAGACAGGACTCGGTCCTGGGGACAGGTGGGGGTAGGCAGTCAGGGCCACCAGCAATCCTGAAATTGCCCCCGCTCTGCACTGTGTCCGTGGATGTTTCTCTCCCTGCGTTTCCCACCACCTCGCCCTCTCTTTTCTTCTGCATCAGGTTTCTGCCTCTGTTTTTGTCTCCCTCTCCCCTCTCTCCCCTGGATTTAGAATTTCACGAAGGCAGCATGCTCAGAATGAAGCCTCTTCTTCCCCTCCACAGATGAACCCCATTCTAGACCTGCTGCCAAACAGGGGTTCTTTCTCATCTTGGTGGTTTCTTTTTTAGCAACTTGGGCACAGCAGGATGGTTGGTGGGCACACATCACACACCCAGTTTATTGCGGCTGCAGAGAGATAATGACAATTGATCATGTTTGGAGATTTTCACCTTGAATCTCAGCGGTTCCTCTCTCTCCAGAGCCTAGGGGTCCTTGGGCGGCTGAGCACACGCAGATGGGCATTTACCCAGGATGCACCCACACACGTGCCAACCTGGCTGCCCAGGCACACATACATCCTACTCCCGTTCCGTCCCAATTTCCCTCATCCTCTCGGACCTGCAGGGAGAAGGGGCAGGATGGCAAGCTCTATTTTATTGACCAAGAGGGGCAAGGTCTCAAAGCAAGTTTGTCTCAGAGGAACAGACCCAGATATTCTGACTGTCTCCAGCTGGAACTTTGGGCTCCAAACACAGTGTCCAGCCCATATTTGGCACTCGCTGTGTGTTTTTTGAACTGGTTCTGGTCTTTTGGAGCTGGTGCAACTACTGCAAGGATGCCAACCTATCATACCTTGGGACACCTCACCAGCTGGATGAAGGCTGGTGATCTCTCTCTTTGCCCTTCCCACGCAGCCACTTCCCCAAATTGTTCAAATACTCTGCGCACCTCCTGTAATGAGATGCTAAACAGATCTGAGCTGGAGAGGCAGTTAGACTTCACACACTGAATATGTAGTAAGTTCCACCTGTAATCATCTTAAAAGCATTCGTACCAATGTAACTGCTGTCTTGTCAAAACCTTGAGAAGACTTCCTCCCTGCTCTCCCCCAGTACCCCTACCCTGACAACTCCTACTCTTTTTCTTAGATGAACTTTGGAAATTGGGGCCCAACCTGTTTTGTGGGGTCTTTTCCTATCCTGACTCAGCAGAGGCTAGAGGGGGACATGGGAGAGGAGGGAAGAAAGGGTTGGAATGTTAGGAGCACCTGAGGTTATTGGGGGTGGATGAGCAGGGGATAAGGGAATTTATTTGAATTTTGAAAAAAAAAATACATATAGCTGATAGGTAAAAGAGCACACAAATGACTATTGGGGAGAGAAGTTCTGACTGTGTTTCATACCATCCAGGAAGTGGGGAGGATCTGCCCCCCTGCAAAGGGACAGAACCTGAGCTGGACCATAGGGAACCTGAGACAACGCTATCCTACCCCTCACAGTACCACCCAATCACCAGGTCACCACACAATCAACCAACCAAACAACATATTAGTGCCGCACATTTTATGTACAAGGTGTCAAAGACATGCAGAGGGACAGAGACACTGACAGACATACTGGGAGAACATGAGGCCACTGGAGAGGCTGCACTGTCCAACCCTCTGATGGGTAACTCCCAGCCCGCCCGTCCCACCTTCCTCCCTACCACGGTGGGACAGGCAGAGTGCAGCCTTATGATGCTGCCCAGTACTCTGCCAGGCTGGGTGAGCCAGAGTGGGTGCCTTACCTTGCTGTGGCTCCCACCAGGCACCACCTGTTCCTGTGACTCCTCACACACCGCCCCAAAACTCCGAGCCAAGCTGAGGGCCAGGATCACTGCAAACAGCAGGGCACTCCTCATGATGCCTAGGAGTGCAGACGGACAGGACGGAGGGAAGGCAAGGAGGAGGAGGACACAACACAGGTGCAAACATGGGAGACATTCACGACTAGCAGCCTGGCTTGACCCTGCTTCCCCAGCCCCCAACTCTCCCGCCCAAGCCTTAGTCTGGGAGAGTCTCTGAGCTGGGAGGCGCTCAGTTTCCCTGCTCCCCCATCACATATTTCCCCAGGATATGCACCCGGCAATGAGCAATGGCGCAATAATGTGGGGGACTCTAGCCTCCCAGGGAAGATAATAGATTTATATGACGTGCATGGGTCTATTTCCTTAGTCGGCTTGAGGAGGGATCCTGGGTGCTATTTTCCAGCCCTAGGTACCCCAAGACTTAGGCAAAAACTTTCTAATATAGGAAGAATCAGTCTGTACCCACAGGCTCCAAACACTACATCAACCCCCATTGACTCCTGTTCACCTTCCCAGTATCCTGCTCCCCGATCAAAGGCTGCCACCTTTATTCCCTCCTGACTCTGCCCCTGTCCTTTGGTGCCAGCTCCTGTCCATCCAACATTCTGCCGCTTGTGCCTACCTGTGGAGCAGCTCTGAGCCTGGGGCAGATGGTCCGGCAGGATCAGGGAGCTGGCCGGGAGCACTGTCCGCTCCCCACACACTCTGCTGGTGCTGCCGTGAAGAGAGAAACAGGGAGTGGAGGGGCTTGGGGAATGTGGCAGGAGCTCCGGCCCAGCTCCCAGATAAAGGCTCTGGGAGGGTCTGGGGGAGCCGGGGGAGGGGCTGAGAATCACCAATCCCAGGGTGGCTGGAGGGGAGGGGGAGGCTGGTGGGGGGAAGAGGGATATAGGCTGCAGCCACACACACACACACACACACACACACACACACACACACACACACACACACACACACACACACACACACACACACACACACACACACACACCACAAACCCAGCAGTGAACGGCGGTTATCCAGCAGCCCACAGTCCAATAGCCCCTGAGCTGTGCATGCTAAGGGATGATGTTGTGTACGGTTTGTCACAAAATTTCCATGCCGGAGCCTACTCAACAGGTGTGGTCCCTGGGCTCTTTCTCCTCCTTGTCCACCCACCAGCTCTTTGCCCTTTAAACTTCCAGCCTCGACTGCCTGGCCAAAACAATTTCCGCCAGGTGCTGCTCTGGCCCTTCTACCACCAGGATGAGCAGGCTCAGGTCCCTGACGATTGAGAGGTGAGTCTGGCACACCCTCCAGTCCTCAGTTCTCCCTCTGTCCTCCTCCCGGCTGGAGCTGACCCATTGCGTTGGTCCTCAGACCAGTAGGGTTGGTACTTCTCCCCACTAGTGAATGCAGAAAACTCCAGGGTCTGCCCCCCTCCACCTCCCCAGTGCCAGAGCCTCTCCCCATGGCCTCCCACCCCACTCTTGACCCCTGAATCAGCCTGACGTAGTTGCATCCTTCCAGGGTTCTGACTTCTATCCTTCCTGCTGTCATCTCTGAAAGGAGGGACAGAGCACCATGGCTGAGCTCTTCCCCTACCCTCACCCCCGCTCCAGCATTGATCTCTTAACTGCTTCTTTTTCTCCTCACAGTTGCATTTTTTTCCACTCTAATCTGTCTCCCTACAGCTCAGGCATCTTCTCCCCTGAACTTTCAAGCCTCTAGTTCACGCCCCACAGTCGAGGGGCCTTATTCTGCTCACTTCACACCCAAGGTAAGAGAATCCCAGGGGAGAGGCAGAGTCAGGATCTGATCCAGATCCAGAGAGAAAAGACCCAGAGAGAAAAACATACTGCTGTAGGAGACGAGGGGAGGGAAAGAGAAAGCCGGCTCCAGAGCAATCATCACTCTTAGCATTTATAATGGGTGCAGAATTTGAACATTTGCAAGACGCTTCGGCAGAGAGCAATCCAACTGATTTTCATCACCTCCACCGTGTGAGTAGGAAATATTCCTATTTTCAGATGAGAGAACTGAGGCTCAAAAAATTCAGTCACATGCTCTAGGACATATAGCTATTGGAGAACAGCCTCAAATTCAGGTTTTTCTCACTCCAAACTTCCCCTTCATTTTACTGCACTGGTCTGTACTTTGACCAGTAAGGGAACAGTTAAGTCTCCCAGAGGGAGTTGGGGGTCCACCTCTCCAAAAGACCTGGAGATTTGGGACCTTGTACTCTTCTACATCTTGGGATTGGGAAGAGAATCATAGCTCTGTTGCATATTTACTACAAAGACTTCTGCTCACCAGCACCTTCCCCAATCACCCTATTTAAAATTACTACCACTCCATTCTCCATATCCCTTCATTTCTTTTCTTCATATATTACATCAAACATACTACAATTTTACTTATGGTCTGTCTACCCCACATCCCACCAGAATGTCAGCATTATAAGGGCAAGGACTTCCGTCGCTTTACTGTTGGATTCCTAGCTCTATAGTGCTTGGCATATAATAGGTACTCAATAAAAATTTATTTATAAAACAAAAAAGCAAGTCTGAGTCCAGCTTCTTGCATTGCGGCCCACAATGTGGATCCTCCACAGAGCCTCTCAAGCACTGTTAGGGTCCTGAAATGTTTGTCTCCCCATCCTCCCCACCCTGGGGTTTGGGCCATACTGAGAAGTCATTCCGGCTTCACGGGGCCCCATGTTCATCCCTGAGTGAGGGCAGCAGCTAGGTCTCAAGGCCCCTTAATTATGTGAGAGGCCAATGGGGCCTCAATAAAGGCTTCCCATTACCCAGCTAATTACAGGGCTCTGTGGGGCAACCATGGCCCAGGACTCAGGGTTGGGAGCCATTAGTGGAATAAAAGGTAGAAGTGGAAGGCTGTTTACATGTTAATGGCATGACTTGTTCATGCCTTTGAGAAGCTCTGATGCTATTCCTAATTGGACCAGGTCATCTCCCACCTCCTCCTCTTCTCCTCCCTCACCAATCTGGAAAAGGAGGTCCAAGCTGGGCAGGCTGGAGGAAATTGGAGGTGTAGTAGGAAGAATGTGTTAGACTGAGGGCTAAGAACAAAAGCCTCCTGGGTCCCATCTCTACATCAGCCTCCCTCCCCCACCAACCCATCCATCCCTGCCCCCAAGCCCTGGGACTAGGGAAGCAAGGATTCAGCAAAGGTCCGTCATGAATAATCTCCTTTGATGATGAGGCATCTCACAGAGGATGGCAGGAGCCAAGGATGGGGGGAGCAAGGGAATGGCAGGGAGAATTGACCACCTCTTGATCTCTGGGATTAGCAAAGACTTGAAAGAGCTGATGCTGAGTCAGAGAGGTGATGAAGGAGGGAGGCTTTGGAGGGCTAGGGCAGGCTGGGCTTCACTTTGCCCACAAATCATATGCAAATGACATGTAAAGCACGTGCTGCAGCTACAGAGAACCTAGGTGTGTTTCCTTTGAATACTTACTCTTTGAGCCACACCTCAGACACTAACTGTCACTGGCCTAGCGGAGCAGGATCCCTAGCAGACCATCCCTCCGGAGCCCCCCCTCTTTATTGCTGGTGCAGGTTGTGGGTGAAGCCAGTAAAACACTGAGCTGAGATGCTTTAATCGGCCCTTCCCAGGGGTCAAGGTGGGGCACATGACTGTGCGCGCGAGCTGGCCTGCGTATGTCCACAACATGCACAGCTTGGGCGCGACACGTGGACCCCTTCGACATTCTGGAGGGGTGCCGCGGGCTGCTGGGGGAGGGGGCTGGGCCATATGTGACAATGGGTGGAGATACCAGTGAGGACTGGAAGGATGCCGAGTCCTGTGGCCAGGACACAGTCGGGAGACAACCCACAGCACGAGCCTGGGGAAGAAATGTGCTGAGCCAAGAGGGCTGAGCTAGAGTGGTTTGTGCTGTGAGATGATCAAATGGCCCCTCTTGGGGGTTAGGGGACTCCAGGATGGCTTGTGCCCCTCAGAGGCTCAAACAGCCTAGACTTTGAGAGAGCTGGACTGGCTATGAGCAGGGCGGGCAGCAGAACTTCAGCTTCTCCCATCATGATGGAGCCAATTCAAGCCCTATAACAACAGGTGGGGAAACTGAGCCCCTATAGGCTTCAGGGGACAAAAACACACACTCCTGAGCTCCAGAAGAGAAGAGAAGCAGAGACAGGAAAGAGGAGGAGGGAGGGAGAGATGGGAGAGTAAAGAAGAGAGGACCCCCCCCCCACACCTCCCTCAGCCTACCATCTATCCACATGACTGACGGGGGGAGGACAGGAAAGAGAGCAGGGGCCCCAGCCCTCCCCGCTCCTACCATTCCCAGCCCGGAGAGCTGACAGTGCCTTCAGCCCTGGGAAAGGAAAAGCAGGATAGGGAGCAGCAGCTGCATATTCTCCTGAAATTGCTTCTGAAAATGACCAGACACTTCACTAGGAAAGTGACGACAATTTGGGCCCTGGGAGCAGCAGATGAGGCGAGAGCGGGGGCGGTCAGGCTCTGGTCACCACCCCCCTCTCGGCCTGGTTCTGAGAAGTAAAGGACGGGGGAACTGTTGGGGGTGGCGGAAGGGTGGCCAGAGCCCCAACTCTGGACATGGCTCCCCACGACAGCTCTAACCCCTCACCCACTGGGAAGGGCTGCCTCCCTGGGCCCCATCTCAGCTCAGAGCAGGGTGTGCCAGAACACGGGGCTGGCTTGTGCTCTGAGGGCTAGATTAATCTGCAGTCAGAGGATGAGCTAATCAGGTCTCCCGCCAGCGTGACTACCTGGGGAGTGAGCTGCCTGCCAGTGGAGGCTGAGGTGGAGGGAGACCCCAGCCTCAAGGCACCGTGAGCTCAGCGGAGACAGGGAAGAGGCAGGGAAGGCAGAGGTCCGAAAGGAGGCAGAGCCGTCCAGACAGAAACAAAAGGCAGCCATTTGTGTGCTCGCATAGAGCGCAGTCTACATTTTACTGCAAACCCAGGAGATGCTTGTTCCCCAAAGGTAGAGAGCAGAGTGGGAGAGGCTTAGACAAGACAGAATCTATGAGGAAATAGCCATGAAGGAAGTGGGGGAGGGTGATATTTAAAGCATTATACACTCTTACGTGTCACCATTAGTCAGAGCCCACAGCAACGGGGACAACGAGATGGTGTCAGACAGTTGGAAACCAAGAAAGAAATAATGACGATGACACATGGAAAATAAATGAAGACGAGAGAGGTCAGTCATAGGAATGGGGGAGTCCGGGTGGGGGGGCGTGTCCCCCTGTCAAGTGCCACCAGCTGCAGGCCCCAGCTGTGGGGCCGTGATTAGTAAGATAACTGTTGGCAGCAGCCTGGCATCTCTGGCATACGGAAAGGAAAGGGGTGCCAGGGGGCAGGTGTGACAAAACCCAGTGCTGAGCTTGGGGTGGAGGGGGCTATGGAGCCGGGGACCCTGCATTCCCCAGCTCACCTCAGCTCGCATAAGCCCTCCAGCCTTGGGCCTCTTGCCGGGCTGAATCTCCAAAGGATCCCAGTTTCTGCCAAGACAGGGATCCTCACTTCTTCCCTCCAGGGACACACTTAATGAATCAGCTCATTGGCCACCTGCGACCTGAGCCCCGTCCCCGACTGCCCCACCCCCACCCCAGTCTCTCCAAACCCCGCCAGAGCTCAGCCGGTCAAGGAGCCCGGAGACAATTTCCCTTCTTCTTCATTCTTATTATCTGCATTAGCTGGCTCCAAGGAGCCTGAGGAGAGGAAAGGGAGGGGGGCAGAGGGTCTGAGTACAAGCCAGTGAAAAGGTGGGGGAACAGGGACCCACCCACATGACCATACGTTTGCAAAGCCTCTTGTTTTATTAGTGGGCAAAGAGGCTGAGGGCGGGAGGAAGCTAAGTTTGCAGAGAGGATTGGAAAGGATTGGGAGAAGCAAGGTCCTCTTCAAGGGTTCTGCACTCTCTGAGCCCCACCTCCCATCCGAGGGCTCAGGCACGGGAGCCTCCCACGAAGGTGGGTGGGTGGGAGTAGGGCCGGTGCTGGTCCAGGAAGAAGAAACTGCTGCACCTCCTCACTGTACAGTCACCTCCAGGCAACGACTCCCCTTCTTCTTGCAGCTCAGCTTGCCATTCCCACCACCCCCAGGGCCCTGGATGACCTTGACAGCCAAGCTGCTCTCCTTGAACCTCACTGAGAACCTGGAGGGGGAACAGACAGAAAGACAAAGCTAGTGCCCTCATCCCCTCACCCCTACTCCTGTATTTTCATGGTGGCTTCCCCTCCCCTTCTTGAGGCAAGTACATCCCCCCACAAGCCCCCTATGTCAGAAGACTCAAGGCCGCAGAGAACTTGGGTGGCCCTGACCTGACATAGTACGCTTCACTTTCTGACAGGACAAATTTTCCCGGTCACAATGACCGCCAGCTTGGTCATCTGCCCCAAGCCATCCCTCACCCCCAGCTCATGGCCTTACTCCTCAGTCACGGTGACTGGAAGCTGCCTCTGTGTGGCATCCAGCACAGCCCGGTACATCTTGGTCAGCAGTTCAATCACATGCTCGCTGACCAGCAGGAAGTCCCCCTTGGAGCCCACTGACGATATCTTAGGAAGGAGAGAAACAGCAGGGAAGGGATTCATTTTTTTCTCCTCAGGAGCAGCCTGGGAGATATCAAAGGCCCAGAGTGAGAGGTCTGCTCTCCATGGCCTCCAGCTCGCCCCAGCCCTGTGATGCCCACCACCTTCTCCAGTCTGGGGCCCTGCCCCCACCCAGCTCTGATACCTCACTCAGATGCAAGCTAAAAAGCCCATCCTTGAAGCTGGTGACTGACACCCCGGCCACACTGTTTAGTGCCACGACAATCTTGGCCTGGGAATTCTTGGTGTCTGAGATAATCACATGCCCCTTGGTCAGAAGGAGAATTCGAGAGGAAGTCTAGGGACAGAACAGGAAAGGGTGAGGAAGGGTTGTGATGCATCCCCACCCTTCCAGCTACCAGCCGAGGCTCTGGATCAGGCTGGGGGAGGAGTTCAGGATATGGGCCTTCACCTTGCCATTGCCACGGTTGACCTTCATCACAGTCTCAGCCACCAGAACAGGCCCTTCCTCCCTGCCCTTCAGCTTCTGTAGCTTGGGGTTTCCTTGCAGCCCAATGTAGTCACCGTGGAATGGAATAGGGACACTGAGGACACACGGGAGGTACGCAGTGGAGATAAGGTCCTTACCTCCGACCTCCAAGGTCCTTGTACCTCCCCGCCGAGTTCCCATCTTGGTCCTCCCGTGCTCCATCCCCCATCCTCCGCCGTACCCTGTGTCTCAGCGGTTCTCAGAGCACGGTCCAGGACCGACATCAGCATCCCCTAGGACCTTGTTAGAAAGGCAAATTCTTTGGCCCCACCCCAGACCTCCTAAAACAGAAACTCTGAGGAGGGCATGCAGCAACCTGGCTGTTATCCAGTCTGCCAGGTGATTCTGAGGCGCACTAAAGTTTGAGAACCACAGCTCTGTTCCACCTGGGCAATCTTCTCTTTGCTATTGATGAAACTGCACAGGGTCTGGGAGGCACTCACCTCTGGGGGTATGAAGCCTTCTTGCCCTTGAACAGTTCGCTGGCACAGAGCTTCTCCCTTAGGACCTCTACCTGCTTCGGGGACAGCTGATCCCGGAATTTCTTGCACTGTGACAGGGGTGGGGAAGGAGGACACTTCAGAGAGGGCAGGGGCTGGAGGAGCACTGGGGAGGGGAAGGGGGACTGAGGGATGCTGGGTGAGGGGGATGGAAACAGTCAAATACAAGCCCCAGGAGGGCTGTGTGCACACAGCACAGCACAAGGCCTACTCCCAGACAGGTGCTCAAAAGTATTTCTTGAGTAGAAGAACTCTGTGCTAAGTGAAATAAGCCAGACAAAAGGACAAATGTGGCATGAGTTCACTTATATGAGGTACCTAGAATAGTTAAATTCATAGAGACAGAAAGTAGATCACACTTTCTGGGGGCTGAGGAACAGAGGAATGGGGAGTTATTGCTTAATGTGTACAGAGTTTCAGTTTGGGATGATGAAAAATAGTATGGAGACAGATGGCGGTGCTGGTCGCACAACAATGCGAATGTGCTTAATGCCACTGAACTGTTTACTTAAAAATAGTTAAAATGGTAAATTTTATGTATTACCACAATAAAAAAAAAAATTTAAGTGGAAGAGGGAGGCAGAAGAGGAAAATCAGGAGGAGGAGAAAAAAAAAAAAAAAAAGACAAATGAGAGAGGAGTTGCCTGAGCACCAGGAGAGGCTGCCCAGGCCCCGCTCACCTTCCATTGGTAGAAGAGCTTCTGAAGCTCGTGGTTAGCTGTGTTGAAGTACTTGTAAGGGGCAGCTGGCCACCTTTTGTCCAAGACATTGGTAGACGGCAAATCGTTCTTCAGCCCCAGGAGGAATTTCTGTGCCTGGGTTGGGAGCAGGGGGGTTGGGAATGGGATGACGAGAAGACCTCCTGACAGGCAAACTGGCACCCAGATCCCACCACTTTGAGAAAGAAGGCCACCCACAGGGAGAAGCAACAAGTGGAGTTGAGGAGATGGAAGGGAGTCCCCTCCTGATCTCTTTCAATGTGAATGTAGACTTGAGGTTGGGCAGTAAGAGCGTGATCGGGAGATGGAGGGGAGAGAAGGAGTAGTTCCAAGCAGATACCTTCTACACAGGGTGGTGAGGTGGGAGGAGCAATATGAAAACTGGCCTTAATATTTTGCTTCTGTAGCTTCCTATTCTCGAGGCTTATAATTGCCTACAGATGGCTGCCCCACTGTCTGTGTTAGCTATTGGACAGGTGCCAAATCTTCCCTCCTCTCTGCTCAGTCAAGGCCAACACCTCAACCTGGCTTTCAAAGTCCTCTACTCAGAGCCCAACCTCATGTCACAGGGTCCCCTGCATTATCTAATCCTGGCACACCAACCAGACTGGACTCCCTGACTTGCCCTCTGCCCAGCCCATTCATTATCACTCTGTGCCTTAGCTCATGCTGCTCTCAGCTCAACTCTGCCAACCCAGATTCTACCTATCCTTTGAGATGCAGCTCAAAGCCCTCCCAGATTCCCTGGGCCAGTGGTGTCTCTCCTTTCTTTGAAGCCCCATAGCACGTTGTCTATACATTTGTTTTTGTACTACTGTTATTTGCATGGAAATCTCCCTCTTCTACAGGTGAGTCTTTGGGAGTCAGGATGCTAGGTCCTGAGTTTTTTCACCATTCAACATCATTAAGCATCTGTTCTGTGCCTGGCACTGTTCTAGGTATGGGGACACAGCAGTGAACAGAGTAAACAAAGTCTCTTCTCACTGAGTTTACATTCTACTGTGGGTGGAGAAGGAGACAGCCCACAAGCAAATAAACATAGACTGTAGCTTCCAATAATTATATACGCTATGATGCAAAAAAAAGCAGAACAGAGACAGGAATGAGTGGTAGCATATTCCAGACAAGAAGGAAAGCCAGTGCGACTGGGCTAAATTGAGCAAGAGAAGAAAAGATCAGAGAGTAGGTTAGCCAAGGAGAGATCATGAAGGGCCTTGTAGGCTGTGGTAAGGACATTTGGCTTTATGTGGGGTGAAATGGAACACCTTTAGAGGGTCTTAGAGGAAGAGTGACATAAACTGACTTAAGGTTTTACTTTTTAAAATGTAATACAACTTATTTTCTTATTTTGAAATTTTTAAAATTTGAGTGAAAGCTGAAACAACATTGCAATGAACATCTGAATAACATATACTTCTCACCTAAATTCACCAGCTGATAATGTTAACATCTTACCCTATCTTTGTGCTCTTTCTAACACACGCACACATAAATACAAATGCACGTAAGTATATAAATACACGCATATGTACAAATCTTGGCTACTATAGCATCCTAAAGTAGGTTACAGCTATCATGACATTTTCCTCTAAAGCTTAAGCACGCATTGCCCAAGAACCAGGATATTTTCCTACACAATCATGATTCTATCACCATACCTAAGAAAATTAACATTAATTGGACACACTCACCCAACAGTAATGTGTATGCAAATCTCTTCTAATGTCCTTTATAAACTTTAAAAATGTACTCTTTGACTTTGTTTTTATTTTTCCTGATCCAGGATCCAATCAAGTTTCACCCGTGGCATCTGACTGTTTAGTCTCCCCCAATCTAGAACAAGGACTCTTAAGTCTTTATATCTCAGGGAGCACCTAGCACCCTGTTTATTTATGGGATAGAATTACTGAAGGTATAGAAAATGACTTGACCTTGAACACTTCCAAATTTTTGGAATTTTTGTGAAAACTTTCTACTGAGATATTAGGTTAAAAAACTAAAATAGAAAAAGGCAAAACACACAGTACATTGCTGTAACTCTCCAGGAACAATGCAAGCTCTTTGTACCTTCCACTGCAAAGATCTAGTGGGCTTGGTCTCATCACCCTGGAGTCCCCAGTCCTTGGCCTGGTTTGATTTAATTCAATAAACATTCCTTAGCATGTCCCATAATCCCCCATGTTCCAACTGATGTGGAGATTCTGAGGTTTTTCTTTTTTGTTTGTTTTTTTAGATCTAGAAAGTTCTGCTTTTCCCTATGCAGCCCTCCTGCCCACAGGTCTACCCAGAGCCATGGATACCTGGGTTGTCCAGGCCTCTGTGAGTGTGTTGGGAGTGGTGAGGCAGGAAGGGGAGGGGAACAGTCACAGGTGGTGGTTAAAACTAGAGTCAAATAGCTTGTATCCCAGCTCTACCACATACCAGCTATGGAACTCCTACAAGTTATTCAACCTCTCTGGGCCTTAGTTTTTACCAATAAAATGAGGGAAAGAGTATATTTTATTTTTAAAAAACATATACTTTGAATAACAATTTTCTGGGTATGTTTAACTAACCTAGGTAAGAAAACCATGGTGTTTAATTGTAAATAGATTGATATAAGATTGGACCAATACTTGATGTGTACAATTTTAGTATATAGGGTTTTGTGCTTTTAAAAAGAAAAGGTCGGGACTTCCCTGGTGGTGCAGTGGTTAAGAATCCACCTGCCAATGCAGGCGACACGGGTTCGATCCCTGGTCCAGGAAGATCCCACATGCCGTGGAGCAACTAAGCCCGTGCACCACAACTACTGAGCCCGCTTGCCACAGTTATTGAATCCCACAAGCCTGGAGCCCCGTGCTCTGCAACAAGAGAAGCCACCACAATGAGAAGACAGCACACCGCAATGAAGAGTAGCCCCTGCTCGCCACAACTAGAGAAAAGCCCATGTGCAGCGAAGATCCAAAGCAGCCAAAAAAAAAGTTCAATTAATTAATTAATTATAAAATAAAATGAGGGCAATATAAGGGCCTACCTCAGAGGGTTGTTGAAAGCATTAGAGTTAATGCATGTAAAGGGCTTAGCACATAGTAAGTGAGTTATAGGCAAGGCAATGGCAAAATATGGACTAGTCAGAAACACTGGGGCAATCAATGCCCTGTGGTCCCCCATATGCAGACTTCCACAGTGGGTCTGATTTATTGAAATACTGGTTTAAAGGCAACAGCTCCTGTGGTGACATTCAGCAGATGCCTGATGATATACAGGTGAAAGAGAAGGTAGACTAGAGGTCATTCAGGAGATAAGAACAAAATCAGATTACAGGTCTCGGGTGTGCAGCAAGAGAGCACGTACTCTGGTAAGGCAGACACCCTGGAGCCTGCCTGAGGAGAGCCCTGGCGATGGAAGAGGCCTAGGACAATGGAGCTTCCCGGGGGAGGGGGAGGAGGACACAGTGAAGACTCAGGGAGGTGGGAAGAGGCCCAGAGCCCCCCTTCCTCAACTTAGCCAAGGGAACAGAGAGGAGCTCCAATGCATCTCGTGTCTTTACAAGCAAAGTCAGTAAGAGTCCTAACAACCATCAAAAATCAAACCAGCCGAGGTCAGTTCTAATTCACTCCAGCCCTCTGTCCAAGATCTCCCGCTCTTCTCTCTGGTCTTTCCCAAGGTTTCAGTGGAGTGCTGCTCTCCCCCATCTGGTTTCCCTCCAACACTTCTCAGAAGCACTGTTGCTATCGGATGTATGTCTCTGGAAATCACCCCTCTCTGTCCCTGTTTTCCTCTCACTGGAAACTGTCCATAGTTTGAACGTCCAGACCTGCTCTTGGCTTCTTCCTGCCCACCCTGACCCAAGTCCTCCAGAATTAAGGTCCTTCCTGAGATTCGGTTTCAGCCTGGCCTGCTACAGTGTCAGAAGAGATAGAAGGAAGACATGACTCCTCCACCTTCACCCCCAGCCCTAAAATGAATCTCAGGAGGTTGGGTTACTTAACCCTATGTGTGTCCTCTCTCTGCTCTTCAATGAGGCGCAGCCTCTGCAACTGTTGTTAACCACCTAGCCCCAGTCTCTTCTCCAGCCTACTCACCATGGACTAGTTGGTGGGTGTGCTGGGACCCCTTCCTGCCACAAGGTTGCCTGCAGTGTCTATTCATGCCAAAATGTGCTCTGATTCTGCCCCTAGGCCCCTAGGCGCTGGGGCCCTCCCCGTGCAGGCTGCTGCCCCATCCCCTCTGCTCCCAGGGTTTAAGTACATCAGATAGAGGAGGCTCTTGGGAAAAAGCTTTGAGTCACCTCATCTCAAACCCCACATACTTCCTCTTCCCAACCTGTCCCTCCCTCCTCAATGCCCCGTTTCCACCCTCAATCCCCACCACTTACCATGCTCTTGTAGATGAAATCTGACAAGGTGAGGGCAGCCCCTGACCGGAAGTACTTCCGATAATTCTTGCGAGCCTGGCAGGGACATACAAGAAAAGGGCCAAAGTAAAGATAGAGAGTTATACCTGGAAGATAGAAGACAGGCCTAGAAGAGGTTCTACTATTTTTCAACCACACAAAGAACAGAGTAAGGAAAAGAGCTGAGACTATAGCTGGAGGGAGAGAGTAAAGTCAGACAAGCTGGCAGTCAGGAGGACACTCAAAGCAGAAGGCAGAGCTCTGCCGCTAAGTCAGAAACACACCGAAGCATATATTCAGATCTCCCCAAGATGCACCCACACTCCCAGACACACACAGAGCAGACCCAGAAACACACCAAGACACAGACATACCATCACACACAGATGTGTCCTGGGTGAGGGCAGGACCTTCTCTCTGCTACTCTTCCCCACCAGCAGCAGCTGGCATGACCCGGAGGAGCCACGTGAGGGGAGGAAACCCCTCTCCCTTCCCCATTACCTTCCAACCTCTCACAAAAGCCTGGATCAACAATGCTGATGCCTTCATCTTCCCATAGCGTTTCTTTTGCTGTAGAAAACAGTGGGCCTGTCAGAAAAACTCCACCTCCTGAACCACCTCTCCGCTTCCCACTCTCCTATTAGAGTAAGGGGGATAGGATTTTGGGGATGACAGATACCATGTTGCCCCGAAACCAAGAGGAAATGAGGATCTGACTCTTGCGCATCAGTTGGTAGTGGACGCGGCAGCGCCAGCCTCGGTACATCTTCTGTATGAGTGTGGCCAGCTGATGGATTCGTAGGCGCCTCTGATCTTCCAGGTGGAAAAGCTGTGGAGAGGTGGAAGGGGGGCAGAGAGGGGCTCACCTAGGGGAACCCCACGGCACCAAGATTTCCTAGCCAGTGTCTTATTCAATCGTTCCTTAGTCCTCTTATTCATTTATGCATTCATTCATTTAATAAGCAGCTACTGAGCTCTGACTCTTTAGCAGGCATTGTGCTAAGACTTGGAAACTCAGACACCCTGACTCTCAAGGAGTCCTGCTTCAGGCAGAGGCGCTCAGACCAGCAATGCAAGCACACCTAATTCCAGGGCTCAAGGCAGGCAGGGCAGGAACCCAAGAACTCAGTTCCCAGGGATAAAGTCCCTGCAGAGAGGAGACTTCCTCATCCACTATCCATTCCAGGTTCTAGAAGCTCCCGTCACCCAGCCTCTCACTCACGTGGGCTCTCCAACTCTTCCACCTTCCAGCCCCACCAAACACAAGTGCACCCTCCAACTCACAGTCTTGGGGCTTCTGATGAAGATCTTTGTCCTCCCAAAGGCCAGCTCCTCTGAGGACACACTCAGCTCCCCCAGGACCTTCTCGACCCCCTCCCTACAGGAGCAGGTGGGGAAAGCTGCCAAAGGGCATCCCAGGGGAGGGTCCTCTCCCACCTGTCCTCTACCGCCTTCCACCTCAGGAGAAGAGTTCAGAGTTCGGACAGACTTCAGAGCCTCTGAGAAGTGATCATTCAATTCATTTCCCCGAGAAGCCCCTTCACGAGCTTCAGCGATACACATGGCACCACCTGGTCTCTTCCCCCACAGAGGTTCCCTGCACTGCCCTTCCCTTCTCCCCAGTCTCCCACTGAGTCTTACCGGTCTCCACCGTCCCAGCGAGGCCAAGTGCTCCGGCTCAGCAATCGGTACCTTTCCAGGAAGGACCCGTAGGCCTGGCGGTAGGCATAGCCTGCTCGTCGCACCCGCACATTCTCCAGCAGCCCCAGGTACCGAGACTGGACGGCCACCAGCTCCGAGGAGAACTCACCTCGCTTCTGATGCTCATTGGGCTTTATACACCTGGTGGGAGGTAAGGCAAGGCCCGGGCTACAGGAGCTTCACCCTTGCCAGTGTCACCCACCCTGGTCTCTACACCTCTATTCTGTACACATTCCCGTTAGCTGAAAATTTTCAGAGGAAGCAGACACACTGGCCTTCCCAGTTTCACTCACTATAGCATGGTCCCTACTTGACCATGACGCTCTCCCCCTTACAGGACTCTCAGCTCCTCAGCTGGCTCTGTTTTTCATGAGGCAAAGGGATCTGGTATCCTATTCCAGAGACAGCCATCCCCCCACCCCTGCACGGACATGTTCTACCATGCGTGGACCCTGCAAGTGTCATCACAAATGCAGCATGTTCCCCTATGTGCCCAGCATGTCACCTGATGTAGTTGGGTTTCTTGGAATACAGGTTCTTCATGAGAATGGCCACAGAACCCTTGAACTGGACCCCAGCAGTTGGGGGGCGTTTGAGAGACGCCTGCTTTGGATCACCCTCAGGAAACAAGGACCGAAGGAGGGGGTGCTGGGCCTTCCACATGGCCTGGGACAAGTCCCGGAAGAGCAGGTCGTTATTCTTGTCGATGAAGCTGTTCACGTTGTAGGTCACCTGTACAGGAACAGCACTTGGTCTGGACAGCCCACCACATTGTCTGTCGTGCGCGTGGCCCTCCCAGTTTCACTGCGAAGTGTTCCTGGTTCTCACCTCCCCCCAGTGCCTCCCCCATTGCCTTCAGCCTGTGCCCAGACCCTAGTCTTCACCCTCCAGCCCCGTGACATCACCTTGCCCGCATAGTGGCAGATGCGGAAGCAGCTGAGGCCCATGCTGTGGTCATACTGGTGCTGGGCATTCTGGGTGACTTTGCTCTCATAGTGGCCATGCTTGGAGAAGATCTGGTTCAGCTTTGCTAGGAAGGTGGAGTCACTGACCACCCCAGGCCGCAGGCACTCCTCGTCCAGCATGGCCAGGATGCCTCGTTGATTCTGGCCAGGGGAACACGATCAGCCCAACCTAGACCTGGTCCTTCAAGACGTCCACATCCTCACTGCCGCCCCTCTGCCCCCTCATCCTTTGCCCCCTTTACCATCCTTATCAAGTGGGGTGGGGGAGGAGGGGAGAGAGAGACAGGGGAAGGGTGTTCAGGCAGTGTGGAGGGGGAGGTCCCAGAGATGAGAGAAGGATAACTTACATCCTCAATGAGGTTACAGATAATGCCATTATCAAAGTAGTCCACCTTCACCCACGGTATGCCCTGGCAACAGGAGATGACAAATTACACGGAGCAGGTCCAAGACAAGTCTCCAACGGTCTCACCAGAACCAGGCCCCCTTTCAACCACCCCACAAAGGACCATCAGAAAGCCCTATAGTTCAGAGGGGTCCTTGGTGTGGTTTCTATCACATCCTCATCCCTCCAAGGTTGATGGAGAATTTGTGGGGTGGGTGGGCAGACGTGTGGGAAGACCCAGAGCAGTTGTGAGAGAGGGTGAGACAGTGCAGAAAGCCATGTAGGTGCTGTAGGTTGGAGAAGGAAGTGGAATATGTTGGGTGAAGACTGGGATAGGGATTACCCCACTGTGGGAGTGGGGAAGGGTCCTTGAGTATGTAGAAGAGCAAATGGCCATACTGTTCTGGCAACAAGCTATGGAACCAAAGCACATAGGTGAGTTTATCATAAAACAACAAAGCTAATTTGATACATCTTCAAAGACCTTCATCAGTGATTCCCAAACTCAAGTGTGCATCACAGTCACCTGGAGGGTTTGTTAAAATACAGATGGCTGGGCCCCACCCCCAGGTTCTGATTCAGCAGGTCTGGGACAGGGCCTGGGAATCTGTCTTTCCAACATGTTCCCAGGGGACACTGCTGCTGCTGGTCCAGGACCACACTTTCAGAACAACTGATCTACATGATACTTTGGGGCTGTATAATTTGTTTTTTAAAAAGCAAGAATGGTATAGAAGCAAAAGACCCATAAGACCATGCATCTCTAATTTAGAGCTTTGCTGGGTAACAGGCCTATAGACAGGAGAGCTCTGGACCAGCCAAGGGCCAGACCTCCCAGGCTCAGGCCATTCCCAGGTGTGGTTGGGGAACACGAGCTTTTCTCTTCCTGCTCCGTCACAGGTCTTTAGGGAATGCAGAGTGGAATTAAGTAAAGTTGCCCGCCCACTTCATCCCCAAAATACCTCCCCAACTGGCTAAATGAACAATCCTATGCAGCTATAGAAAAGCATCTTTATGTACTGATACAGAAAGGTCTCTTGTTAACTGGTGAAAGCAAGATGCAGAACAGAGTGTATTCATTGCCACTTGAATAAATTTTGAGGGGAAATATATTTACAGATTTTTTTGATTACACATAAAAGACGTCTGGAAGGAGGCCGACTTCAGTTGCCTCTAGATGCGGGGGGAGAACTAGGAAGCTGGGATGGGGTGGGAGGGAGACCTTTCTTTATACACCTTTTTAAGCTTTTTGAATCTTGAAGCATGGGAATGTATATCTATTTGCTAATTTAAAATTTTAAAGTAAAAACATACAAAACTAAAAAAACTTTTAGTTGTGACCACATTGCCTGAAATTCTGCCACAGCAGGTTCCTGAGGGCTCACAGGGAACATCCCTGAGAGGGTTTTGATGAGTGAGACTCAGCCATTCACACTTTGGAGTGAATTAGCTCAAACAGAGAGCTTTTCTAACACTTGGCCATAGGAAACTGGGGGGGTGGGCGGGGGGGTGCGGTTTTCGCTGACCAGGGGAAGGAGTGTGGAAACTTTGAGCCACGGGGCATTTCTGGTGAGAAAGTCTGGGTGCTACAAGAGGGGACGGCAACATCAGTCCAGCCCAGAGGAGACAAAAGATTCTGAGACGTCAGAGAAGGGCACCGAAAGGGATGTGGTAGGGTGCCAAGCCCAGGAGAAATGCCCCTTCTAGATTCGGCTCATAGCCTGCCCTGGGCCAAGCACAGCTGTCACTTCACTCTTGTCAGCCCTCTCCCCCACCCCTACCCACCCCAACACCCTTCCATCAATCTGCTCCCTTCCTCTCCTGGCCTGGAGGGCAGGATGGGGAACTGGGGGTGGAAAGCAGAGAATTAGGGCTTCTTGGTAATGCTGGAATATTCAGCTGTGCAAGGGAAACCTTCTGTCCTTAGTGTTCTCATCTGGGGACAACTGAGAGGAAGCTGTGATGAAGGAGAAAGATCTGGCATACGTAGAAGTCATCTGAGAGAGGGGAAGCAGGAAGTCCTCGTTTACCTCTCTCTTATATTCCTCTTGCTCCTCTTTCAGCGTTATCTCTATGAACACCTGCTGTAGCTTCTCATTGCAGTAGTTGATCACAAATTGCTCAAAGCTATTATCCTGTGGTGGGTACACAGGTTAGAGAGTGAGACCAAGACACTTCCTCTGTCTCAGCCCTACCTCCCCTCTCTCACACCCCCCTTGGAGCCTGGCGCTCCTAACCCTCAGGAAGCAGGGTGCTGAGGTTGCTGAAGCTCTCTCACCTCTAATATTTCAAAGCCATAGATATCCAGGACCCCCATGACCTTCCTTTTCTCCCCAGTGCCCACCTGAAGAGGAGGAAAAGATAAATCTGAGGACCGGCCCTCTACACACCAGGCCAGGCCCCTCTGGGATGGGTGTGAGCAAAGCAGGGAGCAAACAGAACTTGGGTGAGCCTGACCAAGCTGGCAAGGAATTGGTGTAATTTTACTCTCCCTCTTCCTCTATAGGCTGAAGGACAAGCAAAGAGGGAGGAAAGGAGGAAAAGGAAGATGTAATAGATTCCAGGAAAATGCTCCCATGGTACAAAGTAGAAAGACGTTAAAATCTTCTCGGGAAAATAACCATCCCTTATATTTGTAGAGCATTTTACAAAAAATCCTATGATCTTATTTCATTAATCCATCTATCCCTATAAGGTGTGATTATTCCCATTCTATAGATGAAAAAAAATCGAACTTCAAAAGAGCTAAGCATTTACCCAAATCTAGATTCAAATCCTATTATTACCCTGCTGCCTTCTGGTAACAGATTCTAAATTGATAGCACTTTCACATACGAATTTTTAAATAATAGCTCTATTTTGACCGAATTTGCACACCATAAAATTTACCCTTTAAAAGTATACAATTCAGTGGGATTTTTTTTTCAGTATATTCAAAAGGTATACAACCACCACCACTAAATTCCAGAGCATTTTCACCATCCCCAGATGAAATCTTATACATGTAACCCATTAGCAGTCACTCCCTATTCCCCTGCCAACTGCTGACCTGCTTCCCATCCCGATGGATTGCTTACTCTGGACATTTCATATAAATGGAACCATACAAAATGTGACCTTTTGTGTCTGGCTTCTTTCACTCAACATCTTTCCAAGGTTCATCCACGCTGAGCATGTATGAGCACTTCGTGCCTTTTAATGGCCAAATAATATCCCACTGTACGGATATACCACATTTTGTTTATCCATTCATTAGTTGATGTACACTGGGGCTGTTTCCACTTCTTGGCTATTATGAATAATGCCTCTATGAACATTTATGCACAGGTTTTTATGTGGACATCTGTTTTCAGTTCTTTTGGATATATACTTAGGAGTAGAATTGCTGGGTTATATGGTAACCACGTACACAATTTCATCTGATCCTCACTAAATCCTGCGAAACAAGTAGGCATTAGTGTGTCTCATTTCCCAAATCGGGAAACTGAGGTTCAGAATCTCTGTGAAACTGAAAGACCACACAGTTGGTAAGTAGGGAACCCAAATAGATGAACTCAAAAAAACAGAGATGTTTCCAAAACACTACATTATCGTAAATAAATAAATACACCCTATCCTCCTTACTCTGTTCATCTCAGAACCCAAGGCATGGGGCGGGCAGAGGAGAGTGCTGAGGGAGGAGGGCAGTCTCTCACCTGAATACTCTCATTGATTCGATTCACCAGCCAGGTGAAAAGGCGGCTGTAGACGTTCTTAGCCAGAGCATCCCGAGCGTACTGAGCCTGCAGGGCAGTGCCAACTGGTTAGTGTGGCAGCCACAGAACAGACTCAAAACTCAGCCTCCTCCCACAGGGCCCCTCACCTGGACGACATTCAGTGCAGTGACCACTTTTTCTTTGCCCGTTTCCATGGTCCTTGAGCACAAAGCTCTCTCTAGTTCCACTGAATTCAAACCCACCATTTCCCCAATCTCTTGAATACCTGGAGTGATGAGGAAATACAACATGGCCTGAGAGAGGGCTTGCTCCCAGGGGAGGGAGGGAGGGCTGAAAAGTGGAACTGCTGAGAGCCTGCTGTTCCTGGGTCTTACTGGGAAAGTCCTTACAGCCAATCCAGAACATGGCTCTGGAGGAATCTCTGGGGAGGAGGAGGAAAGGGAGATCTTGACGCTTTGCATGCATTATCTCCTTTAATATGAGAATCTCCTGAAATGAGTGTAATTGTCCCCATTTCTGCAAAGAATCCACTGAGACTCAGAGAGGTCCCAGAACCTAGGTCTACCAAACATCAAAACCTCATTCCAATATGCCTCACAGGGAGTTCTGAATGAGTATGTTTGGGGAAGAACTCCTGAGCGGGCAGAGGGGGACTGAATCAGAGTGAGGTCTATTATGCTGGAGATGGTGGAAGAACAGAAATTGTAGCAGGAGATTCAGGGAGCTGGTTGGGTGCAGACCTCTCCCATCACGGATGCCACTTGCTGGTACCCCATTGGCCTGGAACTCGTCTGCCAGTTCCACATTCCCCAGCTTCAACACCAGGGCCACCACCTCTAGCACCTGCCGAATCTCCTCCTTGGAGAACCCAATCACAGTCATCGCACTCTTGGAGAGAAAGGAGAAGTCCAAAGTTGAACTGCGGTGCCAGTCTTACACCTCCCTTCTCAAAGCCAGAGCCTGGGCTCAGGGCATGGCCTAATGGCCCATCCCAGGTACTCACCTGGAGGGCCTTGAAGTTGGCAGTGTCGTCCATGCCATCCACCCTGGATGCCCCCGGGTTCAGGTAGGCATAGCCATTTGTGTCCCGCTCAAGCTTCAGGGCCTCTGGGAGGGCCAGCATGAGGGAAGAGGGTCAGTACACATGCTTTCTGGAGTCCTCCAGCCTTGACCCTCACGGTCCTTGTCCTAGGTTGGTTCATTCATTTATTCAGAGGAGCCGTTTTTGTTTTAGGTTCTTCCCCTGCCTCTTTTGTTTTGGGATCACTAATTCCTGTGATGATCGACTACGTTTTCAAGTGGTATTTAGCGTTTGGGTGTTCATAATTGTTGAGGTTTTCCCCAACTTTTATGAAAGAAAAGCCTCATTCTACTCTTTTCCCCACCCTCAGGGTTCCAAACAATAAAAACAAACAAGAAACCTCTCCGTCCTGCTCAGTTCTCAATGGTTCTCGGAGGATGAAGGCGAGGAAAGAAGGGGGAGCACACATCTGCCACCCACCCCCAGCCTCGAGGCCTCACCCTAGGCCCATGTTGGCGCACCCATTATTTGTTCACAAAGCACCAACCAAGTGACAGATACTATGTTCCCCAACCCTGACTCCCTTCGGGAAGGTTTTCTCTGCGCGTAGCTGAGCCAAATGGCCCTCTTGGGTTCCCCCATTGTGCATCTCTACCCCAGACCACATCACATGGGCTGGGCTTTGGGGTTTTTTCTGTCCCTCCTACAAATGAACAACTTGTGTGTTGGGACTGTGTTTTTCATCTTCATATTCTGTGTGCCTGGCTGGCATGCAGGAACTTTTTCCTTTTTAATAAATGAATCAAGGGAATGGTCAAAGCCGTTCACCTGAGATGGGAAGGAATGGGTTAATCATGGAGCTTGAAGGGTATCAGTTATCTGTTATTCAAATGATCTGAGAATCAGGGAGTGACCCTCAAACTAGAGTTTAATGGCAGTTTCCCCTGAGACACAAATTTTGAAATAAGAGCCTGCTAAAGAGGGGTGTCTGGAAGGAGAATGAGTCAGAAAGGCCCTGGGATGATGACACCAGGGAGGGAGGCCCCACCCAGACTCAACTTAAATCAGTGAGTGAGAATCAGCCAGAGCGCAACTCTAGTACCTATGATTCAGAAAAACAGAATACAGTCAAGACAATTAAGCCAGGAGGGAGGATGAGACCTGTGGGGGCTCTTGAACCATAGAGATCTCCAGGAGGGGGAAAGGAGACAGGCACAAGTCCAGCATAGAATAACCACAAACCAAAGGGATAGGTTCTTGGAGGCCAAGACACCCACAGTGCCCACAGTTAGAGGGGGGATTGAGAGGGGAAACTCTGGCAGGGCTTTAAGTCCCATCAGACCCTGCAGTAATGCCCATCCCGAGCCACCTCAGGCCCATCCAGCATCCAGGCTGAGATGGTCTCTTCCCCAAGACGACGTAAGGTGCTCCATGCCTTCTGCCCCTCTAGCTAGCTGCAGAGCCTATTGGCACTGATCACACTGTATTGTGATGTAGCTGTTCATGCATCTGCCATCCCTAGAAGACTCTAAGTGCTTCGAGGACAAGGTCTCTTACTCACCCCTGCACCCCTAGAAGCTAGCACAACGTTCAAGCATAGCAGGTGTTCAAGAGGTGTTTGATGAGTGGTTGAGTGGAACCTCCACAGAACTACCTAAGAAGAGAAAACCAAGGACAAGGCCCTGGGCGAGGCAGACGCACACCCAGGACAACTTCAGCTAGAGCTCATTGAAAGTTCTTGAACACTTGTAACCTCCTGCCTGCTTTCCTGCTGAGCTACGGATAAAGTCCCTTAAATTGAAGATAGGAGAGATGGTAGATGGAAATAAGTGTTCCATTTTTGAAGCCAGCTTGGGGAAAGAGGAATCCAGACAAGACAGAGAGATAAGAGCAGGGAAGAGGTAAGAAGGCTTATTCCTAGCAATAAAACCCCAGAAATGGAAGAGAACACAGAGGTCAAGGGATTTGTTCCCAGCAATGGGTGGATGAGATTCAGGGTGGGGACTGCCCTGAGATTCAAGGGAAGAGGGCTACAGGGATCCAGAGAGGTCCAGGGGTTCTGGGCATTGAATGGAGGCTAGGGATGTTCTGCCATGTGTCGGGGGCAGGCACATACTCAGCAGCTCTGGATCTGCTCCAGCCAGTAGCTGATAGAAGATGTGGAAGTTTCTTTCTCCTTCAAGGTGCTTCACCACGCGGGATTTCTCAAGCAGATCTGGCAGAGAATTTGAAAATCACGTTCTGAGGACCTGGGAGGTACTGCAGCTTCCCTCTAATTCTGCCCTCATCCCTAGCGTTCCTAGTGGTTGGGAAGCCTGGTAGTCTAACATTCCTCCTTCCTACAGCAGCAGATTAGCCAAAAGGAACACCGTGGGGGCAGGTGGGACAGGTGGTAAGCGGGATGGGGAGACACGTACAGTTTGTGATGATGCCACCAAGGGGGGATCCCTTGAAGTCAAACTCAACATCCATGTATTTTCCCTTCAGAGACCAGAGAGAGAGAGAGAGACTTGGCTTCCTCCTCTTCTCGCCACCCTGTCCAGGAGGGATCTGCGCCTTGTTCCTCCCTCTCAAGGCCCCACACCCTCTTGTCCCAGTCCGGGAGATGTTCACTCACAAATCGAGAGGAGTTGTTGTTGCGAATGGTCTTGGCATTGCCAAAAGCTGCGGAGATGAGGGGAGGGGGAATACGATGGCTGAGGCGAGAAGAGGGACTCCAGAGCAGGGGAAGGGGGAAGGCCCTCCAGCCATGAGGTCGATCTCAGGTTTCTCAGGCTGAGCAAGAACAGCGATGTGGGGAACACTGGGGACGGTAGGGTGGGGTGGGGGTGGATCGGGCAGAGACTGGACTTCTCACCCTCCAGCACTGGATTTGACTGAAGCAGTTGTTCCTTCACAGAGTTCACCCGTTCCCCTTCCCCACAGACAGCCGCCACGTAAGTCATCACTAGCTTACTAGCCTCTGCAAGAGAAACCCTCGCGTGAATCCCCACCAATGCCCTTAACCTCCCTCATCCCAGCACCTCACACCACTCAGAGTCAGAAAAAGCCAGGGAGGAATTTCAGGGGGTGGGGGCAGAACTGGGCCTGGCTTGGAAAGAGACAAGGGGGTAGTTCCAGCAGTGACTCCATGGCTTCCCCGCCGGGCGCCTCACCTGTCTTGCCAGCTCCACTCTCGCCCGTGATGAGGATACACTGGTCTTGGTCCTGGTCCCTCAGTGACTGGTATGCCTCATTTGCCAGTGCATAGCTTGTGGGGAGGAAGTGGGTGGTGACTAGTGTGGGACCAGTGCAGGACAACACCTTTCACTCGACCCCCAACCCCCAGACTCATTCGCCCTCCCCACTTGGACCAGACCAAGGCAAGTGACAGGCCCAGGAAGGGGCCTCCAGAGGGCCAAGGGAGGAAGGGGCAGCTGGAGAACCTCCTTCAGGAGGAAGGAAAGAGGAAATTAGGATGTGTCATCATAGCGAGCCGGGGCCCTGTCACCTTTCCTCGGTCCCTCTACTCACACATGGGGCTTCAGCTCGTAGAAGGTATAGTCCCTGTATCTGGCAATGAACTCTGGGCCATAGATGGGCAGCTGTTGGTAGGGATTCACTGAGACCAACACGTTCCCAATGTAGGTCTGGAGCCAGGGAAGATGAAGGGAATGAGCGAGGGTGGGGGTTAGGGGGAGGCACATGAACTCTCTGGCCACACGGCCACAGGCAGGGGCACCCGTAAGCACTCACATAAATCTCCCCGTTCTCATAGCGCAGCTGGAGGTTCTTGATCAGAGACTCCTGCTCCAGGGGTTCCAGGAGCACAAGGTCCTCCACCCCAATGGACCCTTCCAGGAGAGTCATGTCCAGAGGAGCAGCTGATCCTGGGATCAGTTTGTTGATGTCTGCTCAGCTTTAGAGGCCAGTAGCTGTTTGAGGGGAGGAAGGCAGAAGGACCAAGAGAGCTTTCCCCTCCCCCAGTTCTGGCCCTAGAGAGAGCCCCCAACCTGGGAAAGGCCTCTGGGCCAGCCCAAGCTAACAGTGGAGGCTGCAGAAACTCCTGGTGGGAGGCGAGGGAATGCTCTGCTCCCTGAATTAGGGTTGGTGGGGGTGGGACAGGACCACCAGGGTAAAGAAGGCACCCAGTAGGCAGCAGCTGGGGGAGCATCCTTGTGCTTGCAGGGGAGAGGGCTGGGGAGGAAAGGGTAAGCAAACTTCATGCCACAGCCAGGCACCAAAAGCTCCCTCCCTCCTGCACGGAGGCTGAGGCCAGGGTCCAGACTCCCTGACTCTTTGTCCCCCATTCTCCTTCTCAACTCCCCGCCTCTCACAGCCCCCGTTTCAGTCACCCAGCACACCCCATACCCCTTTGAAAAATTGTGCCAGTGTCTTTCCTCCCATCTCTCTGCTACAGTGAGATTCATTTTTTAAATGGGGACTGGAAGAGGTGATGAGCTCAAGGACAGAGATGCAAGTTCCTCCGTAAAAGGCTGGAATACCCCAAAGAAAATGAAAATGAGGTTTGTTTCCCCAAAAGCAAGTAGCTGTCAGGACCTCTGGATGTGCCTACACGTCTGTCCCTATATTTCCATGTCCAGATTTTACACCCATGACCATAAGCTTCTGGCATGGACTTTGCCCCAGAGGGACACACCTAGCTTTTTAGTAGCTGGTGGGAATGGGCAGAGTCAGAGGAGCAGGGGACACTGTGCAGCTCGGCCTCCACGCAGTAGGCATATGGCAGGTGCTCCCTAGAGTGGAAGCCCAGCCCTCCTCAGTCTTTCCTGGGGGACTGAGTAGGCAGGGCGACCTGTGCAGGACGGGACTATTACAATGGTCAACGACACTCCCTAACAGGAATAAAAGAGCCACATCCTCCTGTGCTGCATTGCTGAAACTGACTGGGGGAAGGGAGGGAAGCAGGAAGGGAAGGTGGGGCAAGAAGGGGGCACGGGCTGCCTTCTCCCTTCACTCTGCCTTCCCCAAGCTTCGGGAAAAGGGAGCACCTGTCACTTCCTGTAAAGTCACAACGGAGGGAGCAATAATAATGACTATCGCAACCTTTAGCAATCAGGTAGTATGTACTACGGGCTAGGCAGGCTCTAAACACTTTACATACACTAATTCACTTGATGCTTACAATATCCCCATGAAGTAGATACTATTATCATCCCACATTTTCTAGATTAAACAAAAAAAGTTAAGATTTTAAATAACTTGGCAGGGAAGGGAGAGAAGCAGAAGCAGAGCTGGGAGAAGGCATCTTCTTTGGATTTAGATTTGAAAGAAATGGGAATAAGATTGGTTGGAGGTGGGGGAAGCAGCCCCCACATGGGGCACCCAAAGATGTGAAAAGAGAAGTACAGGCAGGTTAAGGAAGGACTCACCCAATACTGGAACTAGGGTGTAACTTCAGTGTCTCTTGGAGACTGGTGGATGAAATCCCAATTCGACAGGAAGGGGGCATAGGAGTCCCAGGCCCCAAGGCTGGAGAGGTGCCCTCGTTAATGGGAGCTGTCCATGGTGTCAAGGAAGACAGGAGATATTCGACCCTCTTCTTCCCAGCGTCCACGATGCTGACCTTCCTCTGTGCAGCCTCCTCCAGCCAGGGCTCCCTGTGCCAGTCAGGCCAGGCGAGCCCTGAGATGGCTGCTCAGCACAAAGTCCGAGGCTGTTCCTGCTGAGGGTGTGGCTCGCTTAACCCTTCACAGGCCTGCAGCCCCAGAGGGAGACACTCAGTCGCATGAGAAAGCCCCCTCTAGGTAGGAAGGGGTATCTGGCTAGCCTTAGCTGAGGGGTTCAAGCAGAGTTCTTGCTCCATTGCCCCCAAAATTTGGAAATGAGGGCAGAAGGAGCAGACTTTATAGCCAAGGAAAAGCTTTTTCCAAAAGTCAGGAATATTGTCAAAGAGGAAGTTAGGCTGGGGTGTCTTCTAACCAAAGAAGTAGTACCTCCCTCAAACCTACCCTTCCTATCTTGTTCAGAGTCAGGGGGTACTGATGACATTGTTGGAAGAACTAAGCAGACAAAATCCCCAAATTTCTCTCCACTTCCCTCCCCCCATGAATCAGACCCCATCATACAGGTCCAAAGATTAAAGTTAGTGGTAACAACTGACATTTCATTCATTCAGTGAACTCCCACCTATGTCACCTCATTGAATCACACCACCCTGTGAGGTAGGCAGTGCAGACTCACTCCATTAAAAAGGAAAATTAGAGACAAACACCGAGGCTCAGAGAGGTTACACAATGTGCCCCTAGTTCCACAGACGGCACGTGGCAGAACCAGGAACAGAAAAATGCAGCTTCCTGACCCTAAGTTGGCCACAGGTTCCAGCCCAAGTCCTGGTATTTCTCATTTTATTCCTTCTTCTGTGCTAGAATACTGAATAAGACCCTGGGATGCTCTTTCCTGGGCACTATCTCAGCTGGAAATAACTCCCTCCAGTGGACAAGAAGCTTTAAAATCCTATTTCCCAGGGTACCCCCTCATCCACCCAGGAAAATTCCTAAACAGCAGGCTCCCTATGCCCACCCCCCTCCCTCCCAGGCACGCACAAAGAGCAAATTAGGTCATTACACACACTTAGCTGAAGACAGAGACTTGATGCTCCAACTCCCAGCCACAGCTGCTTGGTTCAAGGTCCAAACTCTATTGCTCTCACAGAAGCACTCTGCATAAACCTGGCCCATCAGCAATTCCATTACCAACCTGCCCTTACATAAATTATTGATCTACTAAATATATATATATTTGAAGGGGGTAAAAAGCAAGAGGCAAGAGAGAGAGAGAGAAAGCTGAGTGGAAGTGACATCAGAACATAATCCCATGTACAGGGAGAGCAGTATCACAGCAGAGGCAGAAATGACTAAAGTTCCCCTATTTTGCAGTGGAGGAAACATACCTAGAGTGAGAAACCACTTTCCTAGGATCACACCGCTGCAAACCTGGCAGCGCCAGGACCAGAACACAGGTCTCCTGTTCTCCAGGCCAGGAATCTGCAGCTGCCTACAACTGAGGTTCATTTGTGTCCATCCACAGACTCATTTACCAAGTGCCTACTATGTGCTCACATGAGAGAAGTGACTCTAAAATGAGATGGCAACCTCAGGCTTAGAAACAATGGCATGAACATCACAGCTAGGGTGACCAACCATCAATGGTTTGTCTGGGACCTGAGATGAGTTTTCTGGACATGGGTATTTGAGTGCTAAAACCAGTAAAGTTCTGGGCAAACGGGGATGAGTGGGTCATTCTAAATTAACAAGGTACAAAATACACATCCAACTCAGCTGGGATTTGAAGATCTGTCAAAGCACTCTTGGGGTGGAGAGGAGGCACAGGGGATGCAGGGTTGTGATCTCCTGCTTCCCAGGCAAAACTGAAGCAACTGGAGCTTGTTGGTCTTCCTCCACTCTGACTCTGAAATTCCCTTCTTTATCCCCCCATTAGAATTTCTAGTTGCGTAGGGGGAAATGAGGGAACTTTTCTTTTCTTTTTTTTTGCATTGGGTCTTCATTGCTGCGCGTGGAGTTTCTCTAGTTGTGGAGAGCAGGAGCTACTCTTCGTCGCAGTGCACGGGCTTCTCACTGTGGTGGCTTCTCTTGTTGCAGAGCATGGGCTCTAGGTGCATGGGCTTCAGTAGTTGCAGCACGCGGGCCCTAGAGCGCAGGCTCAGTAGTTGTGGTGCACGGACTTAGTTGCTCCGCGGCATGTGGGATCCTCCCGGACCAGGGATTGAACCCGTGTCTTCTGCATTGGCAAGTGGATTCTTAGCCACTGAGCCACCAGGGAAGTCCCATGAGGGAACTTTTTGAGGTGATGGAAATGCTCTATAACGTAACTGTGGTGGTGGTTAAACAACTGTCTCCATTTGCCAAAATTCAGCAAGATTTAAGACTGGTGAACTTTATTGTATTGTACAATTTTATAAATTATACTTCAGTAAAGCTGGCAAAGAAGCACTAGAAGCAGCAGCAGCAATTCTAAACCCTTCAATGCTGACTTCTGAGAGCTGTGAGGGCGGCAGTCTAATTGGTCTAATTCACACTCACTAGTCCTCCCAGGGACATTCACTTTTTTAAAAGATGTTACACAATAAAAACACAGGAGTTTTCAGACATGGTGGAGAAGATATTTGGTGGTAGAGGGTCTTTTTGACCCTCACAAACTATCTGGTGTCAATTAGTAACAACACTGATCAAGTACAGTTGACCCTTCAACAACACAGGTTTGAACTCCCTGGTCCACTTAAACTCAAGATTTTTTTCAATAAAGTACTTACTGCTACTACATGATCCATGGGTGCCTGAATGTGCAGATGTGGAAGCACAGATACAGAGGGCCTTCAACTATAAAATTATAGGTGGATTTTCCACTGGACAGAGGCTTGGAGACCCTAACCCTCCCCACCCCCGATTTAAGAGTCAGCTGTGCTACTATGTGCCAGGCAACAAGCTAAATGCTATCCAAAGTGAGGTCCACAGACCAGCAGCATCTGAATCACCTGGGAGCTTATTAGAAATGCAGAATCTTGGGCCCCAAGCCAGACCTACTGAATCAGAAGTCTGCAGTTTAACAAGCTCCCCAGATGATTCCTATGCATGTTAAAGTTTGAGAAGAACTGCTTTACACACCTTATCTTTTTTTTATCCTCACTAAAACCCTATGATCTTGCAAACCTGGCAATTATGCTTTAAGTTTTTATTAATTCAACCATTGCTGATCATCCAATGTCTCTTATTTACCTAGTTTGGTTGTAGAAGGAAGAGGAGAAAAGATGTCATCGGTGTGCATTAATCTACATAAATTTACATATGATCCACACCCTGTTTTCTTCCTATTTCACCAACTGTCTTTGAAAAATGGACAGTGGATTTCCATGTAGTCAAAATAACTCAGAAGGGACAGGTACAGAATTAATGCAAATGCTATAATGGATTCCCAGAGCAAAGAAAATAGCCAAAACATAGAAGAAAATGGAAGGTACCAGACTCCTTCCTAATGCAGAAGCTGGGCCTAGTCATAATTGAAGTTTTTTGTTTGTTTGTTTGTTTTATTTTTGCTGCATTGGGTCTTCATTGCTGCACACTGGCTTTCTCTAGTTGCAGCGAGCAGGGGCTACTCTTCGTTGTGGTGTGCAGGCTTCTCACTGCGGCAGCTTCTCTTGTTGCGGAGCATGGGCTTTAGGCGCACAGGCTTCAGTAGTTGCAGCACATGGGCTCAGTAGTTGCGGCATGCGGGCCTTAGAGTGCACGGGCTTCAGTAGTTGCGGTGTGTGGGCTCAACAGTTGTGGTGCATGGGCTCTGCAGTTGTGGCGCACGGGCTGTTGCTCTGCGGCATGCAGGATCTTCCTGGACCAGGGATCGAACCCGTGTCCCCTGCACTGGCAGGCGGATTCTTAACCGCTGCGCCACCAGGGAAGTCCAAAACTGAAGTTTTTATTCCATGCCCCCTAATACTCACTACAGCCCTGCTCCCTTTCACCCTACATAAAGCTCTTGGCAGGCATCTCACAGCTGGATCCATAGGTCTTCCCCTCACCCCAATTGAGAAACAAAAGAGATACTTTATGCCATTAAAAAAAGAAAAGAACTAAAGTACAGAGTAGCTCCCTGGACCAGGAATAACCTATACACTGTTTTCCTATGAGACAGCACAGTGGTACAACCTTCTGCTCCTGCAAGAATACCCCTTAGAGATCTGGCATCCTGGGAAATCATCCAGTCCAAGGAAGTAGACCAAGACAGACCCAGGATGGGGAGCAGTAGTTAAGAAAAAAAGGAAAATAAATGGCATACAAAACAATCTCATCAGAAAGATGAAACAGAAGAGCTAATTGCTGATTACCTGAAAACAAGAGATCAAACAAGAGAAGTGCATGTTCGGGACTTCCCTGGTGGCGCAGTGGTTAAGAATCCTCCTGCCAATGCAGGGGACACGGGTTCAAGCCCTGGTCCGGGAAGATCCTACATGCCGTGGAGCAACTAAGCCTGCGCACCACAACTACTGAGCCTGCGCTCTAGAGCCCGCAAGCCACAACTACTGAAGCCCGTGCGCCTACAGCCCGTGCTCCACAACAAGAGAAGCCTTTGCAATGAGAAGCCCGCGCACTGCAATGAAGAGCAGCCCCTGCTCACCGCAACTAGAGAAAGCCTGTGCGCAGCAACGAAGACCCAACACAGACAAAAATAAATAAATTAAATAAATTTTTTTTTTTAAGTACATGTTCAGGGCTTCCCTGGTGGCGCAGTGGTTGACAGTCCACCTGCCGATGCAGGGGACACGGATTCGTGCCCCGGTCCGGGAAGATCCCACGTGCCGCAGAGCGGCTGGGCCTGTGAGCCATGGCCGCTGGGCCTACGCATCCGAAGCCTGTGCTCTGCAATGGGAGAGGCCCCAACAGTGAGAGGCCCGCGTACCGCAAAAAAAAAAAAAAGTACATGTTCATTAAGAGAAACCACTATATAGTCTATAAAACTTTATTAAAATTGGGATTACTTACAAACTTGTACAATAAAAATGAAAAAATATATAATAAGACGTCATTGTTTTTCCTTACAGGAAAGAGTGAAAATGAGACCCATGGCAAAGAGTCATCCCTGATCATTTTGTTGCTTTCAAACATTCATGAACTTATTTTAAATATAAATGACAAATCTTTTAAAATAACACTAAGGCATTACCCACAGGCTAAAACTTACCCAGTAACTCCCTATTTCACCATCAATTCTAGAAACTTGATAAAGGGAGGCAACTGCAGGCTGTAACAGTTCTAACACTCACCTTATGAGCTATCTATTATGTTAATAAGAAAAGAATGTTGTCCATGCTGTAGAAAATTTCGGAGAAGGTGGTTTCACCATTTTCAAGTTATTGTCAAGAGTGTGAAAAGGAAGATGAGACACATGGGCGGGGGGTATGGGAGACAAAAGCCCCAAATTTGGGGATACTGTGTGCCATCCCCTTCCCCACTAAAGCTGTGTGTTGACACTGGTGTGAATCCGCTTTGTTTATTCCCAGCAGTCTCTGGCTCCCATCATATAAGGCACCAAATTCCCTTTTCAAGGTAATAACTGTCTAGAATCCAACTCAATAGCAACTGAATCCATAAGCTAAGTTACCAAGAGATACCCCTGGAACACCACAATTGCATAGGTTTCCCTAAAAATCAATTTCTGCTACATCAAAACATAAACAAAAGGTTTTAGGTGCATTTGCCTGTGCAATGGCTATTTTATGTTTATTACTTGGTTTCAGTGCCTATGTAACATGAAGGCATAATAAATCTGTCAAACTGTCCTCTCCTTGATTCAGATAAAATTCTTGGCATTTCAATATAGGTTATTATCTCTTATGTCAGACCTGAGTCCAAAGGAATACTAGAAGGACATTTAATTTCCTTTTCTCCTACTTCAACTTTCACTACTCAATTCAGAGAAAAGTTATGAGTACACAGCTAGGAACCATTTTTATGTAGGCATCCATCTGGGCCCATCATTTTTTCTGGAACA